CCACTGTAATCCCCAGAAGGATGTACTTATAATAGTTATACATTCATAATATTTATTGATATTGCTTTATAGTTCATTTCCAATGTGGACGGGACGTTGCTTGCGCTAAAAATGCCATAGAATAAATATATATTCAAAGAAATACACAGCATGTACAGTATACGCTGACACATGAGAAAATGTGAGTAACAGAAACAAACAATTGTGATGAAAAGAGCTCGGAGATGAGCCAAGCTAGAGGGTAGAACTTTAGCTATTGTTAAGGGTAAAATGACCTGGTCTGATGTACCGTTTGAAAGCGTTGCTCGACCATCTGCCTGAAACCATAATTTCGTTCTCGGCAGCGCCTAGGTGTAATATCTTTGGGTTCAAGAACGTATCAAAACGTACACAATGACTTCATTTCCAGAACAATTTATTTCACAAACTCTAGAGGGCTCACATCTCTCTTATACACACATAATGTTACAGTATTTAAATGATCCATGTATATTACATTCCTCCCCCCTTAAAGAAATTGTCATCCCTGTGAAAAATTGTTGAACTACAGAACAGTATAGAATTTTTATGAACTACGCCACTCTCATCCCATTTCACAGGAAATGTATTATTTTGTGAATTTCAACTAACAATTAGGGTTAATTATTGGTTTAACTCAAAAGGAACACTAGTATAACACAACACCAATAAAACTGTTGACACACTGAGTTGTTATTTGTGTGCCTGTTTACAAATTTAGTCTATCTGGAGCCTTACGGACTCTTACAGGATAGCGCCTCTCCTGAGCAATACCTGCACTAGGTACCAGAGGGCTTGGCTGAATATCAGCAATTTGTGGACCCACACTTAGTGGAACCTGGTCCTTCTGACCCGGAGTCCCTTTCCCATTTTCGGATTTTTCTGGACCATCCAGAACCTCTATCGGAAGTCCTTCTGGACTAATCAGTGGGACTTGTACGTCTACTGAGGGATTGTCTGCAGACTTACATGGTACCCCCTTCTCTTTGGAACTCAATATGTGGTCTATGTGTACAAATCGAATCTTACAATTGTTATACATGTATACCAAATAGGTACGAGAACCACAAACCTTGGTTACCTTACCAGGCAACCATTTAACTAGTCCACCTACATTACTCTTGACTCTAACTCTATCATCTACATGCAATATCCGTTCTTGTACACGACCCTTGTCATGATACTCAGTTTGTTTAGCTTGCTTCCTATCAATTTCTTGAGCCAGATTAGGCTTCAGTAATGAGAACCTAGTTCTAGGTTGTCTCTTTAGAAATAACTCTGCGGGTGTTCTACCCGTCGTGGTATGAGGACTATTACGGTAAGTAATAAGGAAGTTTGCTAACTTGTGGTGTAATGACAAGTTTCGTTTACGTGGATTAGGATCAAGTAATTGCTTAATTAGCGCCGCCTTCACAATTTGAACGGTACGTTCCGCTGCCCCGTTGGAAGCAGGATGATATGGCGCTACACGTTTATGTATTATACCATTTCTATTCATAAACTCGGCAAAGTCACTAGAGATAAACTGGGGCCCGT